ATACGGACCGTCCATTATATGTCTGGGCAATGATCGTTCTTCGTTCTCTCTTTTATATTGAACAGACATTGAGGGTGAGAGTATACCTTAAGTGAGAAAGAGGAGGGCACCAGACGCATATATAGGGATGGATGGCGAGACGATTGTGTTATAATGAATAAACACAGTTTGCCCTCACCAAAACGCGAAAAAGAACCGTATAAGGTCAAATAATAGATGTATCCTTTATTTTGTGTGTATAACTAATTAATTGCTCATGAACGTAGATTCAAATAACAGAATGTTATCTCTAAAACGCACATACAAAGAAAGAGAAATGATTGCATACAGTTAAAGAATAGATAAATCAAGAAAGATAATATTATTGTGCCTGTTCTTTCTCGTTCTCTATTACAATGATAAGAAGTTTTACTTCAACTATCATTTTACTAACAAGAATATAAAAAAAGAAGTCGTTTTGAAAACAATTCTTGCGTATTTTTCGTGTGAAAATGGCTATGTTAGGAAAGGTTGTACTTTGTTCTTTGGCAGACGAAATTCTCATTTTCGAATATTTATTTGTCTTATTAGTTTGATGTTCGTGAAGACCCAGAACAAAAGACAAAATGCGACGAGACAATGGAATTGTTATTAGCTGCTGGATATTTTCGAGTGCGCATCAAAGGTTTATCCGACTTTGATAAAGTAATTGTTCTCGTTGAACTAAGACATTGTTCACCATCATTCATTCACAGGTGGTCGGAGGTCTTGCTTGGAGCATTCAAGCATGTAATTTTGCTGTCGATATTGATGTACTCTATCAAGAAAATGCGATTCTTGGTGAAAAAATGTAAAAAATTTAGATGGTTTCATATTGAATAGAAAATGTGTTTTTCTTTGATTAGAGAATTGACAGAACGTATTGTTCTTGTTTTATCTCGGATGAAGTGTCCACATGTCATCGAGCCACATCAAATTCCAGGCAATGATTTTATACACATTTTCCCCATTGTTAAATGGCTTGTAAACAAAGTCTTTGAGCGACGTGCTGAAATTGGTGACTTTAATCGTGCATACACGTTGAATCAATATGATAAAAATTTCGGTGGTTCAATCGAAGAAGTAAAGACATTTGAGAAAAGTATTGATTGGAATGAAATGTCCTGTATTGATATAGACGCAATCTTCATCTTTCAAAGAAAATGTCGAAGATATTCGAGTAAAATTTTCTTTCTTTGTGCGAAAATGAAATATATCCAGTGAATCTGTTTAGATTCGTCATCAACCGCAACGTCGTTTTCGTTGTTTAGATAAGAAAAAGAAGCGGTTGACTAATCCGGATGAACGTCGTAAGCGTGTTCATTCTACTCTCGTAGAATTTGGTCAAATGCATCAATTAATTGATCCAACTAGTGGAAATGAAAAACCACAACAAGATGTTGACGCATTAATTAAAAATATGGTCGATGAAAAAGTGAGTTTTTCTCTTCTATCAAATTCTATATTTATTCAAACGAAGCTTTTAGTCGAAAATCACGACACAGATAGTGAATTCTCTAGTTAATCAACAGCAGGATACTCTTCGCGAAATTATCGAAGATTTCGAAGAAAAAGTAAAACGAACCGTGACAACTCATTTGCCATCTATTTTGTTCTTGATATAAAAAAGGAAAAAGCTCGTCTCGAAGAAGCCCTTTCATCGGAGAGTGGACAGCAACTATTAGCAATTCGTACGTACAAAGTTCAATTGAATAAACAAACTGAAAGAAAGCAAATATTACAAACAAATATTGAACAAGCACGAAGTAAAAAAGAACAGACATTCAAAGCAGCATCAGCAGTAAATATTGATTTTCTCTCTAATTCAATTGAACTATCTTTCGTCTCTTTTTCATTATTAAGATTAAACAACAATACGAAGAATTAAAAGCTGAATTAGATGAAATCGAAGTACAAACGCAGAATGTCGATCCAGAGTATTACAAAAAAAAGCATTAACTAAAGTTCTTTTTCAACTAATTTCATTTTCTTTCAGAGCATTAAAACGAGTTCAAGCCTTAGTAGCAGCTTATGAACAAGCTAAAAAAGAAGAAAGTGAACGACGTGCTGCATTGAAAAGTGAAAAGAATGATCTTGAAGAAGAAATCGCCAAACTAGAAGCACGTCTGCAAGCATCACCTGAGACAGACAGTGCGGAAAACGAGAAAATGAAACAGATTAACGAGCAATACCAAACAATTTCGGATCGTCTACAAAAACAACGTATTACAATGGTAATATTTTCGATTCAAATCGAATAGAATTGATCGAGAAAATGTTTTCGTATTTGTAGGCTAAGAAGGTGCGTGAAATCTCGATGATTAGTCGTCGTATCGATGACATTCCATCAGCGAATGAATTAGCTCAATATCGGCAAGCATTCTTTCAACTATATAGTCAAAGTGCTGTTTTACATAGACAAACGAAACAAAACTATACATTATACAACACATTCACTGATATGATTGATTATATGACGAACGAAATCATGTTGATTGAATCAGTTAATGAAGGCTATCCCCGGTAAAGAAGAATTTGCCAATAAACACGAATGAAACTCTTGATTTTGTATAGTGCAATAGTATCAACCAGTGGCAAGGAACTCTTTCTCAAACAATTAGAAGCTATTGTTGAGAGTGTCAAACAAAACCGGTTGAAAATTGAAACACGACAGCAGACGGAGAAGTCAAAACGTGATACATTGAATATTCAATTTACACAATTGATTGAAAAAGCACGACAATATGCAAAAGTTCTCAAAGATTTTCAAGAAGTAAGTGAGACCATTTGAATTTCTATCTGTGATTGAATCTATTTTAGGCAATCCGAGAAAATGAATATCTTTCTACACAGTCAAAATAGTTTTTTTTTATCAACTTTTATAGATTTTTCGACAAATAAATTCATAAATCATTCATTGATGTAAAAATACACAATATGGTCGATTCATCCAATAAACTTATCATTCTTAGTTCTGACTCAATTGTTAAGAAATGATTTTCGCAAGAAGTTGAACAAATTGAGGGTCAGCACTACTGTCCACACTTTTGATGAAGTGTCGCTTCGATAAGAGTATCTTTGTGCTTTTCTTAATCGCATTAACTGGTCATCTACTATTCTCTCTATTTATGAATGCGTTACAGAAAGGCTATTGTGTCACAAAAATCGTAAGAATAAGATCGGAGAATAATCTCGAGGGACGGGTTCGGGCAATGTTGGATACATAGCACTGTCTTTACAACTGTATCCACACTATGATCTGCACAAACGCATACCTATATCCTCCAGCTTCATCGTCTTATTAATGCTCATAATTGAATTCTTACTTAACTCTTTCCACATTACCGCTTACTCGAGAGTTCACATATCTCCATTGCGCCTTTTAAAATTTCTAATAGACAGTCACCATGAACTTTTGAGAAAGATAGAACATCGAGGTACGCACTAAGGTAAAGAAGTTTTTTCAACAACAATACTGACTCTAGCAAACTATTAGGTTGAATGTATCTTGATCTTTACCATGTTTAGTTCATTGTTATTCTTCTTGTCTCAATACTAATTGATCGTGGACAATTCCGTTCAACATCTGAAAATACGTGCATTTGATGACCATATCATGTCATTATTATTTGCCGAACGCGCCACAATAACTTGGAATGTAAGGCTGTTACCAAGAAAACTCTATGACATCTTTTAGCAAAGCTTTGTAGCTCTTGAATAGAGTAAATGAATGACGGGAAGTGCTGCGTGTTGGCCGAAGTATAAATAATTAGCTATCCCGTAAAATGACCGATTGAAATTTATTGGTGTTTTTCTAGGTGTTCATGTTGAATTCGATGAGTTAAAAAGAACAATGCAAAGCTCATAGTTCACATTAGATATGAAATGTCTTAGTTTAAGAAAAAGTTTTGTGAAAATCCGTGTAGCAACTCTCTGAACTTTTCGGAATTGTTCGATTCGCTCTATTAGATCAGTTCACCTCTGCAATTAAGAAATAGTATCTGAATGGATAGAACACAAAAGGAAAGTTTTCTCTTGAATCCAGTTTTAAGAAATACCCACCACAGAAACTTTCGATCAATGGTTTCGCTCTCAAGTCAATTACTCCTTTTCAGCTTTCATAAACATGATAGGTTAATATAAATAATGTCGTACCACTGGTCACATATTGCTCCTGACACTAAGATTGTCAATTTTTATTAGGTATTTAAATGCTTCATCAGCAACTTCTTCCACTCTAGATTCAACAAGCAATGACAATGTTCCACGATCGGATACGATTCGATTTTGAAGAGCAAATATCTTCGATTATAGGTCACACTATTCTTCTCACTTTATGATCGACAAATAAAAGAGCACATTTACTTGTCGATAAAGTTTCGTGCCAGTGGATATTCAATTCAATATGTTAGATAGTAGTGAAAACTTGTATTCATCTCTCAAAGTTCTTTCAAAACCAATTATTTGTATTTACTCAAGTTAAGTTAAACTTCTCGTTCAGAATTTGGATGAATGTACAGAATCGATTCAATGTTCACAAATAGGACCTTTCGAAATAAATATGAGACACTATTTCGTAATCTTAACATCGTCCTGATGTAAAAACGGAAAGGCCTATTTGTGTAGAACAATAAACAAATCAAGTTGATTGACGAAGGTTACTCTCGATGAGGCAAGTTTTAGTTTTGCGTAGAACGGTAGTACCAGCAAGTGGTACAAAGCTTTTCATTTAAAAATAGAAGTTATTGTCGAAAATGTCAGAGAAAACCGATTGAAAATTGAACGACAACAACAGCAGCAGAAAGAAAGATTGAAGCGAGATCCATTGGTTTAAAAACATGCACCATCACTATTTTCTATTATATAGCTCGCTCGCATACATCTATCACTCTAGCCTAGTCGTTTAGCAATGATTCTATGAATACTTTGATCAACAAATGTATATTCATCATTGTTTTATTCGAAATAATTTTCACAAAAAATTAAAGAAATGCAGGTTCATTACTACTGTCTACACTTCGACTACTGATCATATCCGGAAGCAGCTCAATTTGCATAAAATCGATTCGACGCTTTGAGATTTGATCACTCATTCGAAATGTTAGTATTACTGCAGCGACTAGAACCATATCATATGTAATAAATGACAACAGTTCATTGCTCATTGTAAAATTCGGATCAAGTACAAGTTGAATGATCATAGAGATAACTTGTATTAACTCACCAATCAATAATATGCCAGTTGCACGCACCATCCCCGAACCTGACCGATTAGTATACCAAATAACAATCATACTACTGACATGATACAGTATAATATATAAGAAATCAGTGACAAAATGAACAATGCCTGAAATATGTTTGTTTTTATCATCGGGAATATGATTCAAATGTGAATATAATTCTACTGTTGCAAAAATGATGATCACTGTGTGCAAAAAGATCAGCGTAAGACGTATGGTTTCCATGATTGTTTCTTATTGCTCTACGATTGTGACTTTCTGTGAAAATATTTCTACATCAAAATTATTCTCTTATCATAGTCGAGCGATTTCGTGTGATAAGTAGATGAATAGAGCAGCATTGTCTACATTCCAATACGCATGTGGTCGTGTTTAGTGGAATGTTTTATTAGATTTATCTGTAACGCAAGAGAACAGCAACGAAAAAACAAACGTTGATTTGATGGTCGATGATTATATATGAACGAGTAATGATTGTCTGATCAGAATGAAAAATAAAACAATCAAATTGAATCTTAACTAGCGTGAGAACAAGAAGATATGCATATGTAAAGACAAAAATCTATCAATCTCGTCTTTTCTACATTCAAAAGAAAGATGGTCAACGAAATTCATTGTTATTTCATAGAAGATTAAGTGTTAAAACCAAATTACTATCTTCGCCTTCTTCTTCCTCTTTCTTTGTTTTTGCTTGATCCACCCATCTTAATCGATGTCACATAACGCCCTAACC